TTTTGCACTGTTGCAACTCGAAGGCCGCTCTAATCGAAGACCGCTCTACTCTCCGATGGCCTTTTTACTTGTCTAATGACAAATTATATGCTTTCGATAGCGGGATGGCGCAATCGGCTAATGAAACGGATAGCTTTTCCGCGCGGCACGGCTGATGTCGCCAGGCTGTGGCAGTCGCGTGCTTCCTGTCTCCTACGTAGAACTCAACGCGCTTTGTCCCGTGGAATATCAAGTAACACCACGCTTATAGACGATATATTATTTTCCAGGAGGGAATTAATTTCCAGGGTATTGTATTTCCTACGTCCACCATAGCCGAGGTACAGGTTCACTATAGCCGAATCTTCTTATGTTTATTTGTAATGTAAGTGAAACGGGGCCAGTGACTTAAGTTCACTCTAACCGAGGGTTAAGTATATCCGAGTTCTTAACAACCGTAGTCGACATTAGATACTGACTCCGGCCGCGGAAGCCTATGCTTTCATTTGATAAATGAAGCACGGACGGTAGGCTGCAGTACATTGTTTAACGTTGCTGAAAGAGGATTGTGTAGAGTTGTTATCATGGAAGCAGATCGCATGCTCGCGCTGGACGAACGAGGACATTGCCGATGGCCACTACCGCGCAAGTGAGGCGCTTGTAGGGATCGAGGTTAACAGATCCGAAAAGAGCTTTAATTATGAATACTTGAGAATGTGGAAGGGGCACGCCTTTGTATTTTTCAGGATTATTTCACTGTGTTGTCATTCTGTTTGTTTAATGTTAAAAATGATTGTTAATGCATTTTGATTTTTTCCACGAGTGTTAACAACTCTTTAGACAATGCCAAAAATCTACCACCTCTTGTCATCTGCGCTGGACAAGAATTATCCAATAAAATTTTAATTGATGAAAAGTAACTGATTCTTAAATACAACTACTGATTCTGTGCAGGAAGACTTGATCGCCAATATAAATTTGTTTAAACAATTTGTTATATTACAAAATAAACGTGAATGGAAATGATGCTTTTTTTTACTTCTTATTTTATTTTTTCTCAATCCAGAATGTCGATCCTCCTCTGTTTAGTCGTTATAGCTTTTCTATAAATTCTTACAACATATTTACAAACATTGTATGAATGTTTCAATTTTCAGGGAAAGGGATGAAGTACATTTTCTTTTACATTATGTATAAATATCACTTTGTTACACATGAAGGGAAGGACTCCTTGGAGAGACACTTTTCAGGTTGCAGTTGCTAATTTGCGAATTTACTATAATTTTCCCCTCTTTGGGCATAATGAACTTGATATAAAGCGTTCTCTTTATTCACTTAATTCACACAAACATTTGTAATACAATATTAATCTTTCAAGAACTATCTCCACGTGTGAAATGTAACATCCTTACCTCCGATGTAGAAGTCGGTTGCAAAGAAACACATGAATACGCAAGAATAAGTAGTAATGAATAAGAAGTAATGAATAGTTTATTTGTAAATACGCCAATTAGTAATTCCAAGATAAGATAAGTAGTTAGTACATTAGTAATTACTAATTAGTTTAGTTTATTTCGAATCAGTTGTAAATGAACATTATTTCATTTATATTATTCATCTTTTAGTCACGAACGTTAATGCTTTTATTTGAATGTTATTTACAATACTTTAATACTCGCTAACAATAAGTAAATTTGTTGATTTCTCAAGAAATAATGATTGGAGAATAGACTCATTAGTAACTCTCCAATAAAACACGTGATGCACATGTAACCCAAACGAAAATTTCTCCCGTTAACTCGAATATATTTTCGTGTCTGTCGTAGGATTACTTCTCTTGGAATCGTCTAATTGTCGCAACGAAAACTCTGCGTGTTTGCAAACTGTAAAAATATTCCCTTGGGATGGGACAATTACTAGAGCGCTTCTTGTTTGTCTCTCTTGTGCGGTAGCCGCGGTTGCTTTACAGTTCATGTCTTTACAGTCCCCCGATGAGTTGGGGACTCAAGAAACACAAAATTGAAAATTCGAAACTTTTCATAAAAGTAGTACTAACGCCTTATACTGTAATTTAGTTTATTGGTAGTTACTGTTAAGACTGATTTGTTAATGTCCTTCAACATATACCTATCTGTTGGGTACATCTAAGTTCAGTGGTATGTAGCTTAGAACATAAAACCATTAAGAGCGTAGGCTTAAATAATAATATAAAACCATTATACGACGCTGTCATTATGTTCTTTGGCAAACAGGATGCAATGGCAGGAAAAAATGCTTAATGTATTTTCAAATTTTCAGCATTATGTAACATTAAGGATAGGTACTATGTTTTACATAACGTTATTCGAGTAATACACGAGTTAAATGGAATAATTGCTAAATTGATTTGAAAGTGTACTGAATGAAACCCATTTCATTAATTCAATTGCCTCTAACATATCTGTCCTCTGTATAATATAATAGCTGAGTACACATGAAATTCTATGTAATTTGCTAAATCTACGATGCTTGAAGAATAATGTGATATAGCGCAGGAAGAAATAGTAACTACAATGAAAATTTTAACTTGTTTTTACGTTATAATTATCTCTTTTTAAAGGCGTGTGCGAAAGTTCATTACACCTTTCAACTTATTGTTCTATCTTGCCTTTAACATTGGAATGGCTTCGCTGAACCTAAACATTTTGTGTATATACAAATAAGCACAGAATAAGTAAAAAGAGGTAGTTTACTGCGAATTATATTAATGTATGTAAATATATTAATATTGTTATATTAGTGATATATATTAATGCAATTTTATTAAAATAATATACATTCTTCTTCATAATTCGTACTAATTTGTTAAGACGTTCTGACGTTTTGTTCGAATCACGAAAGTGCCACGTGGCGAATCACCAAGTGCCGTTCAGGTTTATCCTTCAGCATAATCGTCAACTGTTTGGGGCACAGGTCCTTTAACCCCTCCCCCGCAATAAAATTTCGGGGGGGGGGATCGCCTCTCCCCCAAATATGATCAATAATAACAGAACCTCATATCTCTGTGTATTTGATGAAATTACCGATTTTCTGCGAGGGAATTGTGCTACATACTATACTACCTTCTTTAATCAATTAATGTAAATGCATTTTGTTTTCAAAATCATAACTATCAGGTCCGTTCGGCTGTACTTATTATTATGGTTCATTGTACGTTGCGTCGTGAATCGGGCTGAATGCAACATTTAAAACTAATATTTTCTTATCAAGTACGCATGTACTCAGTCAAATAGGAAGTACGTTTAATATCGAGAAGGTATATGTAGAGCTTAGGGAGTTGGCCAAATGTCGTAAATTCTAAAATGGATGCATTTTTATTAAAATGCAAAAACGTCAATTGGAAGTGGAAAAAAGGCCCAAGATAGTGAACATGGCGACAAAGGGTCTGCTTTTGAAACTGAACACCAAACCCTAAGAGATAAGGACCGTAGGCAGTGGTGCGTCAATAGACAGCCACACCCAATATTTTCTTCAAGTTAGCGCCTCCGACTTGTGGGCACGCTTTCTAAATTTTGAATTTGTGAGAACAATGCTTTCACAAGTTTTCACAAATATTTCGGATGAAAGTGATTTATTGATTTAATTGCTGCTTTTCTAGCTCCGGTAATAGCGAGTGTCTAAGCAACACATGATGATCCAGCGGTGGATTGGAAGGTCGTGGGTTCGATCTCAGTCAGGTGCTAGAAATTTGATTGATTTGTTGAACATTTTATGGAATCGTATTCATAGCTGCTCTTGTTTGTAGCTACTTTTTGATCACTTTCAGGTGAAGCGCATACTTTCCAACGACTGGACTGACGCGCGTCCTTCCCTTTCCCCGTCTTCCGCATCCAACTTGAAATTGTGTATGTGTATGTGTTTTTTTTTTTTT